AAAATATGTAAGTATATTATGCTGTCTAGAAATATTCAGTCTGCCTTTAATTTATGTTCAAAATATGTAAGTATATTATGCTGTCTAGAAATATTCAGTCTGCCTTTAATTTATGTTCAAGATATGTAAGTATATTATGCTGTCTAGAAATATTCAGTCTGCTTTTAATTTATGTTCAAAATATGTAAGTATATTATGCTGTCTAGAAATATTCAGTCTGCTTTTAATTTATGTTCAAAATATGTAAGTATATTATGCTGTTTAGAAATATTCAGTCTGCTTTTAATTTATGTTGAAAATCTGTAAGTATATTATGCTGTCTAGAAATATATAGTCTGTATTATATGTTGATAATCTGTAAGTATATCATGCTGTCTACAAATATATAGTCTGTATTATATGTTGATAATCTGTAAGTATATTATGCTGTCTAGAAATATATAGTCTGTATTATATGTTGATAATCTGTAAGTATATCATGCTGTCTACAAATATATAGTCTGTATTATATGTTGATAATCTGTAAGTATATCATGCTGTCTACAAATATTCAGTCAGTTTGTATTATATGTTGAAAATCTGTAAGTATGTTATGCTGTCTATAAATATTCAGTCTGCTTGTATTTTGTGTTTATTTGTTGACTAAATTCAACAGTGTTGAATGTTAATTGATATATCTTCCTAATTATGATGGTGTTATGCAATAAATTCCATTAATAAACACACACATATGCAGGGGGGGGGGGGGTTTGAGGGGATTTGGCTGAACCCACTATGCTTGTGGTATATAACATTTCAACATAGTCTACATTCTTCTGATGAAATATAAGACTCCCATAACATTAGCATGCTTTACACAATATGTGTTGGCTTTTGGTCTTACAGATTAGTATCAAACATTCTGTGTATGGGCGTGATACTTTGTATGTTATTCCTTATGTCAAGTTCCATATGATATTGTGTTTTCTATAATTCAAATGTTTATTGACTAGTTTTCATAATCAATTCAAATTATTCTGTGATTTTGGAGTCAGTTGGCACAATTTCTTTTTATGTAAGATTAAGTCAAAATAATGACTGCGACCACTATGCCTAGTTTGAGATCTAGGCTATGTAATTCTTAAAATACCCAAATCTATTTGATGTTCAGTTGCCTCATTAATACAAGGTTTTGTGTAAAGATCATTGAGTAGAATCAGTAGTGTGTAATTTCTAAGTTTTAACTAGATATTATTTTCTGTGTGCTTTACTTGTGAAATACACTGAATTTTGACAGTATTCTACTTCAGGAAATAAAAGTAATTTTTGGTGTGTTTGAAAGGCAGATAGAGTTTTAGTTAAATATTGTTTGTAACTTACTTTATTCCTGATATTTATCTCAGCTTTATTAATACAGATGATTAAAAACTGAAGTTAATTTAAAAAATATGTTAAGGATGAAAATGTAATGTGGTTTCGTACTTAATGATGGTAACTGTTTATCAAGTATGCTGTGGTCTCGGGGGACTTCTGTTTTCTAGTATACTGTTTGACACAGCTTTTCTGATGCATTAGCCATTATAGGAGGCTGTCACCTAATGGATGTTATATTGATACTACAAAATGTGTGCAAGCCAAACATTTAGTGCCTTTGCTATGTTCAGTTTTTGCCCACTTAACAGATAAAGAAAACCCCATCTTCATCACCAATATGGTTTTATGTTCAGTACATTACTTTCTTTTGTTACAAAAGTATAAGTTTCTTTATGAAAGAAGCTGTCTAATAACTTTATATGGTAAGTTGTTAACCACAAACTCTCTTTTTCTGTTTCATAAAGTATTGTATGAATTAAGTCAGCCTTTAATTGATATAAGTGATAAATATTGAAATTTTCTTGTTTAAATGATAATAACATGTACCTTCTTATCAAAGCTGTTTCACTGTGTCTTCTCTAAAATCACCATGTTTGGATCTTTTTCTCCTGTCTTTAAAACATTTTGATGTTGTTTCCAGGTTCAACCTCCAGAAGAAAGTGATGAAGAACAGTGTGCACTAAGTGAAAACTGGCAGTTTCAGCGTACTAGTCGTCGGTGGTCACGGATTCCTTCACCCTTGGAGGTTAACAACAAACACATTAAAAGCTCGCCTCCTACAGGAAAATATCTGTGTGTGTGTGACCACTTTACAGGTAGCCACGATAGTATGTTTGTTGATGGTCACCAGAATAGCTTTGACAGTTCAGGAACAGATGTTTTGCCCAGTTGTGAGGAACAATCCACCAACGACTTCTTGTGTGTCCCAGTAGATGCTGATAATTTCATTTCAAGTTCAGGAGGGTTAACTAGCTGTGATTGTGAGAAGTCACCAGATTTTCCAGAAAATGGCTTTGACAATCTTCGCCGTAGTGGAAGTGAAAGATTTAAAGATGGTGCCAAAGCTTTGCTGCGAAGAATTGAAAGTCTCAAAGGAAAACGCAAGAAGAAAAATCGTGACGCTTTAGTGATTGGTGAGAATTTTATTTCTAATGATTCACCAGCAAGTAGTGAAGCAGATGGAAGTTCACCAAGTAGTTCACCTCAACTCTCTTGTCACAAAGTCCCACAACATATAGCAATTGATCAGAACTTACTTCAAGGAGAATCTCAAGAAAGTCAAAACAGAATGAACTGGCATCAAATTCAGGAAACTGACTTGCATGCTTTGAATGATTCTGAGTCATCCACACCCAAGTTCTGTAATCGTAGGACAGACACAAACAGTAATATTTGTGAAAATATGAAAAACGAACATTCAAGTGTAGAAAATAGCCAGTGTGAAAATATAATTGTACAAGAGGTCAACAATGATGAGAGACAAACCAAACAGATAAATTGTACACCTCCTCCAACCATTATTCTCAGTCGAACAACTTCAGTTGAACGATCAACCAACAGGTTGAACAGAATTGTTACAGGTATTCCATTGTAAATTCATTGGTGTATATACAGTTTTTTTAAATAATGTTAGTATTTGGAAATACAAACGTACTAACCGTATGAGTATTTTAAACTAAGTTTATGTTGGCAGTCTGTGCAGTATCTCCTATACAAAAAAAAAAATCCAAAACAAGTACTCATATTTATGAAATTTTTTGCTTAAAAGACTTAAATGTCTGTGATGTCATTTTGGAATTCATTTTCAAGGAACTCTAATTCTGTTCCAGGCAGAACCTTCATTAAAAATATTCTTGTGATGTATATGCTGCTACATGCAGCTGTGACTACCGTTACTAGTAGTCATTATTATTTTGTATGTATCATGTCAAAATGTTAAGATAAAAATTGTACAGGTCAAATTCTTTGTTCGTTTGGAGGGTTACGAACAGTTTCGAAGATTATAGATGCTGTCCTTAATGCATTAATAATAACAATTATAAATTTTTCCAGCTCCTGTTTTGGGCCAGACAAATGATGAACAGGAGTGTCAAGAGTCCAGTAATGTCTTTTATACGACTCTTATACCAGATGAAGTGGGCAGTTCTCAGGATGAATCTGAGAAGACAACACTGAATCTGAGAGAAAGGAGGGACTCTGGTGTTGGTTCGTCTCTAACGAGAAATCCTTTGTATGTTTAGTCATTTAAACAGTTTATATTAAAATTGTTTCCAGTATGAAAAAATCCTTAAAATGACAACAATGTATAAAATCTTGCAGACAAATATAGCTGTATTTGATGTTTCCATTAGTGATTTTTATTAAGTTATCAGGGACTTGAAAGAACTTAAAGAGAAATGTTGTTTAATGATATATTCATAGACATTTATGTTAAGTTAAAGTACTTAAATTTAGTTGAAACACATCTGATTTCTAAACTTTTAAGATGAAATATAATTATTTTGTTTTCTTATTAAGTTAGATGACATCCAAACCCGAAATTTCCCACTGATTCAACTTTATTTCTCAAACTTGGCAATTAAGAGTATATATATTTCAGTGTACAATAAAAATCTTTAAATAGGACAATCTTAAAATAAGATTTTCAAGAATATTGAGTACATGTGTTGTGTAATTCATCTGATGAATGCTTCTCAGTTGTTAGAGATTATTTGTACATTACTGTTTGTATGGTTGTGCACACATATATCTGTATGTGACTGGACTTGTATGTGTTTTTCTTGTTCTGTTTTAATAGATGTAGCTCAGCATCACAATGGAGTTGTATGTGTTTTTCTTGTTTTAACAGACTTAACTCAGCATCACAATGGAGTTGTATGTGTTTTCTTGTTCTGTTTAATAGATGT